GTGATTTGTGATATTGGGCTTTATAAATAAAATTGAATTGAATTGAATTGAATAGTACACGTGCTGCTGCATTCTGAATTAGCTGGAGAGTTTTTAAGGACTTACTAGAGCTACCTGATAATAGAGAGTTACAGTAATCCAGCCTTGAGATATCAAAAGCGTGGACCAATTTTTCTGCATCTTTTCGGGTCAGGATAGGCCTAATTTTCGCAATATTATGCAGATGAAAAAATGCAGTCTGTGAGGTTTGTTTTAAATGAGAATTAAAAGACAAATCTTGATCAAATGTTACTCCGAGGTTTCTTACAGTAGTGCTAGAGGCCAGAGCAATGCCATCTAGAGAAACTATGTCATCAGATAAAGAGTCTCTGAGTTGTTTGGGGCCAAGAACAATAACTTCAGTTTTGTCTGAATTTAACATCAGGAAATTGGTGCTCATCCAGTTTTTATGTCTCTAAGGTTATACTATGCTATGTCAGTTTTTTTTAATGAAAGTTCGATGTCATACTATACTATGTCATTTTTTTTATCACATTTTGTCATCATTCTATCCTAAGACATTTTTCATGAAATTATGACATCATAGTATACTATGACATAATTTAAGAAATTTACACATCATATGATACTATGACATTTATTTTAAAATTTTGTCATCATGCCATTCTAAATTTTTCAGGAACTTTTTGATGTCATACTATTGTATTACATTTTTTATGTTTTTTTTTCTTTTATTACATAATATAATATTTCCTCCTATTTCTTTGTTGTCATGCTCTTCTATATTTCAGTGGTTCCAATAACGGGAGCCAACCCATGCTTGAGCGCATCACAACGAAGTGTGCCCACATGAAACCAAAATAACTTTTCATCTCACCTTCACATTTGACTGCTGTTGATTTGTAGATAATTTTAAACTATGTCCATCAATTTGATTGAATTTTTTGTACACTGTAAAAATAATCAATTAGTGAAATCTGCAGTGCTCATAAACTGAGAATGACTTTCCAGTGATATAAGAGACATTTTGTGTTCAGTAATTTAACTTTAAATTCAATTTACAGTATTTACACTTTCAATATAAGAGATTGAGTTTATATTATGTTTTTATTATAATTTTTGACTCGGGCACATTAAAATTTTTAAATGTTTTTTAAATGTTTTTCTGAGGCTTCATCTCTGTATGTTCAGTCACCAGCAGCTTCAACGAGCAGGAAATCCTCCAGACTGAATGTAAAAATGTGAATCATGTCAGTCTCATCCTACAATAAGTTCACATATATATAGGTGAACACATCAATCTATGAAATGATGACTGCACTGAAACAAATTGCGCTCTCCTTTATTACGGCCCTAAAAGCTTCACACACGCACACACACACACACACACACACACACACACACAGTTGTGCACACACAGAAACAATCTGTCAACTTGCAAACAGCTAAATGTTCATCCTGCAGAAAGGAAAAAGGAAATGTAAATTATGATGACTTATTTAACGAGATTAGCATGGCAACAGCACAAGTATGATTTCAAACACCCCTCCCAGCTAAAAGCCACGCTGCGCACGCACACACACACACACACACACACACACACACACACACACACATCAGTGCACACAAAGGAGTGTGTGACAAACTCGCCGGCGCCCCTCGCAGGGTGACGCTACAGTTGATTTGGGAATTACAATTAGATTTATGATGTGGCTGCATATGGCTGAGCCCTCTGTTTCTCTCTCTCAAATGCTGGGATTGGCTGCAGCGAACACCGGCGCCGTGGCGTATACACCACAGCACAGTCAGAATGTGTGGCGTTACCTCACACACACACACACACACACACACAATGGAACAATAGGCCACATTTACTGTAATGGGCCACCAAAATATAAAGCCGGAGTGGAATAGCTCGACTTTGGAAACAGAAAGCCTTGTGTTGGAAATTATTAGATGCCTGGAAAGTAAGAGCACTATTTGGCGTAATGGAAATAATAATTCATGAAACACTACCTGTAACTTGTGCTCAGTCTTTTCACATGCTCAACACAATAGGTTTGAATGCTGCTCTGCACATCAACACTTTGATCTTTCCACAGCAGTCAGATGAAGAGTTGAAAAAATGAAGAGACAGATTTTTAGGGAAAATCTCAAGTTTTTAATTTTTATTTCTTTATTTTTTTTGATTGTCTTTCTCACCAAGTTGTACTGACACTTTTTAGAGCCAAAGCTGGCTAATAAATACAATGAAATGTTAAAACGCACAATTGAATTTCAAATACAATACTCATCACAAAATGTATGTGACCAGGAAACTGACGTCCCACTTCTGCAGGTCACAACTGACAAGAGCATGAGGTCTAAAGAGATCAGAGGTGACGTGACCCCTTCAGGCGGCACGAGAGCTGCGGCAACAAAACTTGCTTCGGTAAATGAAATGCTTCTAAAGAAATGACATTTTACTTGTGCCTGGCATGTCTGAGGCATCCTATTGAGTCCAAACATGTGACTTTGACTGTTCTAATTTATCATGTTGAAAATCAAACAACATCTTCACATTAGTCCATACTTAAAAAAACAACATAGAATTTATATCCAGTGCTTAGGATGACAACAACAGAAATGTCTATGCATGAGGCTTTTTTTTTCTTTTCCTGCAATGCGAGTAAAAACCAAAGTTCAGTCCCAGCTTGTGAAGCTTTCTGAGTAAAGACTGCCAGGTATGGTCAGAGATATGAAGACGTGTGAAACAGCTGAACAGAAACCACCCGAGGTCCCAGGTGCTGAAAATATTCAGAATGCAGAGTGTGGTGAAAAGAGACAAAGAATATACTGTGTGTCGTCAGAGAAGTGACATTGGAGTAAAACAGAGCAAAAAGCGTGCACGGCGCTGAGCACAAGGCCGCGCTGACACAAGAGGAGAACATCTCAGTTCAGACTGTGGAAAAACTCTGCAGCTTTTTTTCCTCCATTCTTCTCTTAATAATTTACTTGTCTTCAAAATATACATGCACTGTAGAAAAGGTACCCTCTTTGAAATAACAGACCTCTTTTTGCAGCTCAATAAATTCTTTCTTAAAACACATGTTTGGTGAATCTGTCCCACGTGATGCTCAGAAGACATTTACAAATATGAACAGGCTAATAATAAAAATAGGAACATTTTGTACCGATTCAAAACACAATTCAAAATACAGCCAAGGGATCCAGAATATTAGAAACTCTCATCCTACAGCAGGTAACTGTGGCGCTGCTAGACCCCGCCCCTCTGCCCGCCGCCCGCTGCTGACTGGACACGTTTAAGTGTTAAAGTGTCTCAGCAGAAATGAAGCCAAATAAATGTTTGTACCTTTGGCCAGATTGGAAGGGATAAACTCAAACACTGAAGGTCGGCATTTGGTTGCGCCTCTCTGAACCTACAGCACAATGTGCCGAGTGTTTTGCCTCAAGGAACTGTGGGAAATGTGGTTCATAAAAGCACCAATGCAGTGAGTGGAACTGAGGAGCAGATCTCAGCATGGAGGAGCTGTCAGAGATTGAAGTGTGACATCACATCCTCACTGAGCTCTGCCGGTGATCGGGTCAGGAGGGGGGCCAGCAGTTACCGAGTCGGAGCATCATCATCATCATCATCATCATCACCACCATCATCATCATTATCATCATCACCATCATCATCATCATCAGATAGAAAAAGCTGATTGTATAAGACTTTTTTGCAGCATTGGAAGTTAAGACTACGACATCCCGAGTGTATGTGAATGTAGGTTTGGCACATTTGAAGTAAATCTGTACAATGCCTGGGTTCGTGCTTCCTTACACACCTACTCAGTAATAGTAATAATAGTAATAATAGTAATACTACTACTACTACTACTAATAATAATAATAATAATGTGATATAAGGGATTTTGCTCCCTTTATTTCATCGACAGTCTGAAAAGACCTACCACTCTTTCTGTATGAAAACGAAACAAAAAAAGAAACACATTCACAAGCTGGCACATCATACCTGAGCTGGGATATAAAAAAAACTCTAACAGTAATGTAATGTAAGCAGTCTGTCAGAAAACAAGATGGAGATGCACGGTGTACTGGTAAGAAACAAAAGTAAGACTATAAGATTACAATAGCTAGGATTTATATTAAAACTTTTCATATTTCAAGTTCCGACAGTCCAGAGTTCGTACAGGCAGCGACCTGTCAGAGGAAAACAGAACAAAAAGAAAACACAAAAAAAGTAAATACATGAAGATAAAAACGAAACCACTCCTTAAACATTTAAGACCAAATAGCTGTTGAAGACCAACTCCTGATGCTTCAAATCCATGCATGCTCTTTACAAACCACACAACAATGTGTTCGTCGCTCATGTGTCTCATCCTGTCTCATCCTGTCTCATCCTGTCATCATCCTGTCTCTTCCTGTCCTCATCCTGTCTCTCTGTCTCCGTCTCTTCTCGGCTCCTGTTAAGATTGTCAGAGTTGAAGGAAACTGAAGTTTGTCGTCAGCTGGATGTCTGAATGTCTGTCAGCTTGTTTTTCTCGGGTCACATTTTGTCCATCGGCCGTCTTCTTCAAATGGACGTCCATCAACTGTCCGAGAACTCAGTGAGCATGTGAATCCTGTCTGGGCATGCTCAGTGCGTGATGCCACATGTCCTGAAGGTCTTTATAATAAACTGTGATTTTAAAAAGTGTCTCTGAGTAGAACAGGAGTTTTGTTTTTTCTCTTTTTACAACCGACACCCTGAGCGCGCTCAGTTGGCGCTGACGGCCTCCTGTGTCTCGTGGTCGCTGCTATAGTCTGACTTGGGCTCGTCCTCAAAGTCCTCGTACATGTCCATGTCGTCGTCTCCGTTGGCGGGGTCGCTGGGCAGATCCAAGGCTCCCATACCGCCACCATTGCTGCCTCCGCCGCCGGGCTCGGACTTCATCCCGTACGTGCTCTGAATGACCGGGATGGCGGGTTCGGGGCTGGCTGAGTTGCTGGAGCAGTCTGAGGTCAGGTGCGGGGACGGTGTGGCTGTCGTTGCCATGGTAATGGCACCCGGGTAAACTCCCACTCCGCCTGGGCTGCTGCCGAGAGGCATCGGTGGCTGAGGCCTGAAAGACAAGACAGGAAGAGGGTTTTTCTCTCTCGTGTCTCAAAGGTGAGCAAAGAATAAAAAAATGGAGAAAAGACCGGAGCAGCTAGCACACACACACGCACACACACACACGCATGCACACACACGCACGCACGACACACACACACACGCACACACACACACGTGCACACACGCACGCACGCACACACACGCACGCACACACGCACACACACACACACACACACGCACGCACACGCACGCACGCACGCACGCACGCACGCACACACACACGCACACACACACACACACGCACCACAGTGTATAGTGTAACTTTAGCTTATTTTAACACATTTAAATCTAAATTTTCAGACATGTTATTAACTTTTTTTTTGTCTGTTCCATTAATACTTTTTGAACATTTTAATAATTGTTTCTGACATTTAATCATAATTTTTTCCAGAATTTTTCTAAACTTTTTTGACAAGTATTTTTTTGACATTTTTTTCAAAAAACAAAATTTGAAAATATTTTTCGACCATTTTAATTATGTTTTTTAGAAATGTTTTTTCATGATAATAATTGCATTAGTTTAATTAGTGTTCCCCTCTATGTTGAGCTTCACAGTAGAAGTAATAACCCTGCAGCATCACTCAGTGTGTGAAGCTGTTGCAGCGTAAGTTGTAGCCTGTGATTGTGTCATCCAACAGTCTGCAGGCATCAAACTGGATGTTTATTAGAGTCATGTTGCACAGTGCACAGCTGCACTAAATTTAGAAGACTGATCAAATCTCACAATCTGTAGGAGGATTAAAGCCGGACCACAGTGGTGGACTGACCAACAGACAAAGACAGGCTGCATGTAAATCTTTTTTCTCTTTAAATAATGAAATAATAAAAACAAACAGATCACAGGAACATATCAGCTGGTTAGTGCCAGATGAGTGTTTGATCAGACTCTGATTCATTCTCAGCTCCTTTGAACAAAAACATGAATTGTGAAGCCACTTAAAGAGCAGAGCTCCTCGTCAGGTCGGGCATGTCCTGACACAGAGCGCTCGCTGCCAGCTCACAGCAGCTAAATAACCTGTTCACATAGAATAGAGGAGGAATGAGGGTGACGGCCCATCAGTCAAAGGGCCCCTCTGGCTCCTCACTGAGCCTCATAAAGCAGGAAAACTGCTGTCACTTTTCTCACCTAACAGTTTTCCCTCCTCCGTCTCCTGAAACAATTACAGCCGTCCGCTCTGACAGACTCATTTTCACATTAGACGCTTTAAAACAACACTGGTTTAGTTGTGTGGAATGTGCCAGTAACTGGTCGAGTGCCGGCTCCCAGTAGCTATTTGATTTAGCAGTGATTGAAAGAGCAGGCTCAGAGAATCAGGAGCGTTTTTCTGCAGTTACTGACCACACACAGTAAATGTGGCATTCAGCCCGTGACGTCTGCCTGGCTCTCGCTCCCTCTTAAACATCTGCTTACATTTCATATTCCACTATGTCTGTCTGTGTCCAATTTCACTGCCCGCAAGCGCCCAGCATTGTCCTAATTTAATAAATGACAAGCTATTAAAAATCGCTCCTATTCAAAGCCGTGGCCTCTGGTAAATCCATCTGAAGCCCAGGCCACTGTGATGGCTTTAAACACATCCATGGCTGGTTCCTATTAAGACAATGCCACTGTTTTTCCCCTCTCTGCACCCACTACACTGAACACAACGCTCCTCAGCAAACCTTTAAAAGCTTTCACAGAAACAAGCAGAAGGTTGCACCAGGAGACCTCTACTGAATAAACCCTGATGGTCACCCCTCAATCCTCCAGGAAAAATCGGTCTTTTATATTGATGCTGTGACACACGGTAAGAAAAAAGACCTGAGATAAAGTGCAGAGAAACAACATAATTAAAAAATAAACCCTGACTGAAATGCCCCCAAATCCTCTTTATGAATAACAGTATCTTTATCCTGCTGAATGTGTTTGATAAAAAACCCACGGTGAGGTCAAGGTGGCGAGCGCGATGGGAAGTTTAACTGAACTGAGAGGTCGCAGGAGCAACAGTAAATTAGTCAAAGTGTTATTGAGCGACATACAAAGCGTGTGTGTGAGCCGAGGCTCGTCGCTGTCGCTGCACACACTGATGGAGGAAAATGTTTCTGTGGAAAAATACCTGGAGGTGCACTTTGAAACTTTATATAAGACACTGCGTGTTCATTGTGTTACATACAGACACAGGAAGCTGACTGTGATGTTCAGGGTCAGCTGACAACACACACGCACACACACACACACACACACACACACACACACACACACACACACACACACACACGTAGACTTAGTTTGGTCTGGCTGAGTTTGGCATCTTGGATTTTTGGATTCTGAGTCGACCACGTTTGGACATACAGTATTTAGTGTAGAAATTCAGCCCTGCACAGCTGAGAGGGAATCAGCTTCAGAGCAGGGCTGGCTGATCTGGACATAATCTAATATCACAATATATTTGACCAAAGAACTGGGTGTTGATATGGTGAGGATACTGTGGGGCTGACTGTTGGTGCTTTCACACTCACATTTGTTACAACCATCAGTAATGTGGATATAAATGTTAATAAGAGAAGAGTTCAGACAATAATGTCACTTTAAAACCAGGAAACTTTGGAAATTAAAAGATTCATAATCAAGACAGTACGTCGTCCCATATCATGATGTAGTTTGTATGTACAGTACCAGGCTGTAAACGTGTTGATTTCTACATGTTAACATGGAGGTCTGACTTGCTCTTGGAGCCAGCCTCTAGTGGACATTAGAGGAACTGCAGGATTGACGTCTGACGGTGCTCACCCGACAAAGAACTGCCTCATCTCCTGACGCCGTGACCTCATCATCTGCTTGTACTCTCCGATGCGCAGCTTCTTGCCGTCGATGATGCAGGTTCTCTTGGGCCGCGGCTTGTACTTGTAGTTGGGATATTTCTCCAGATGGATTTTACTCAGGCGGGCCTGCTCCTCGTAGTACGGCTGCTTCTCCTGGTTGGTCATGGATTTCCAGCGAGAGCCTGGAGAGGATGATGCAGATTAGTTTTTCTCTTTAGTTTAGCTTGACTCAGCTTGGTCATAAAACATATGTCAATATCTCAAATGTTTTCTGTGCAGATTTTCCTGGAAACAAAGAACAGACTCAAACAGAAGTAAACCCTCTCAGTCATCACTGATGACCTGCTAGAAGTGTGTGATGGTGTATTTATCTGCAGAGAGCCTGTTCTCTTCAGGCTGTGAGCACAGTGCACAGGTGAGGTCGGGCCTTATAGAAAGGTAGTGACCAGGTGTCAGATTGTAACCAGATCAAAGAGGAAGCTACAAACATCCTCAACACAGCGCTGAAAAACACCGACCAGAGACACTGACTGTCACCTTCACTGTCTCTGGTGATTCTGTTTACAGCCATCATCATCCTCACTGTGACCTCGTCACATGTCCACGTTTGGTCATGGACTTTCCACGTCCACATATGACGTCCAAGGTACCCTGGGTGTGTTGGTTGTTGACGTTGTGGGACGCCGTGTCAACTTCAGCCTGTTACATGCATTGTCTGTTTTCAAAATACACTTCTGTTTTCACAGGAAATGTACAGTTTGATACAGTCTCTTTCAGAATAAAAGCACTACGTCGGTACAACACCACCAACTGATGTTTTTTTCCTTCAACACAAACAAACGTGGTTACGTTTAGCCCACATGCACACACACGTGGTTACGTTTAGCCAACACGCCAACACGCACACACACGTGGTTACGTTTAGCCAACACACACACG